AGTGGAAATACAGCAACCATTCGTTACCGTGTGGTAAACGAGGGTTATGGGAGACCTTTTCAAAACTGGTGGAGTGATCAAGTAGTATGTAAACTTTATTTGTACAAATTAAACTCAAAACCTCAGTCAATTATCTTTAACTACAAATAAACGTAACTGCATTACAAGGAACATCGTTTCACGGATACATCGGCAACTACCATTAAAAAAATACTCTTGAATAAAGATATATATTCTAAGGAATCCACGGTATATAAAGGCACGTTTAAGATAGTTTTTAACTTAAAAGTTTTTTTTTCAGTCGATCACAAATGTCAACTCAAAAGTCAAGTTGGTAATTGCRACTCCAACCTTCTCTGGGRTTCTACCTGCTGGGAATTGGTATGACAGAGAGATCAAGTTTGTTGTTTCACCATCACTTTTTACAGGCCAGTATACATTACAAATACACGCCGATGTATACAGCCAAGTATTCGAGTTTACATACAAAAGCAATAACGTAAAAGAAAGGAAATTTGAAATTATTCAATCGCTTCCTAATTTAATTGTGACAAATGTAAATGCTTTCGTCAAAAGTAACCCAGAAATAACTTACCTTCATGTTAACTTTACTGTGCTAAATGATGGGAAAGTAAAGACTTTTTCTGCACCTTGGACAGATAAAGTTGTTCTATCAGTATCCGAGCAATTTTCTTCTAACCAATTGAATATTCTTGGTGAAGTCCTAAGGAAAACCAATCTTCCTTCAAAGGAATCCTATAAAGTTATTTCAACTCGGTTCAAAGTCCCTCGAAATATTTTTGGGCTTTATTACGTKTTTGTTATTACAGACGTTCATTCTTCCGTTCTTGAAACTAACAAGGCTGATAACGAACGGCGTGGTCCTCCCATAACAATACCAAAAATTCTTCCCGACCTCGTTGTGCTGAGGATAGCTTTTTCAAGGTCATCAGAAGTCTTCGCGGGATCTACAKTAAATGCATATTGGACTGTGCAAAAYATTGGCAAAGGAAACACCTTGGTTAACTCGTGGACTGACCAGTTGTTTTTATCGAAGTCCAGTTCTTTGGATGRTGCAGTCAAAATCAAAGAGGTTGTTGTAAGAAAAAATATTCTTGCTGGGAAAATATACAACCAAACAACAACTGTTCGATTACCAGACAATATCTTTGGAGACCACTTTTTGATAGTCAACGTCAATGGTTATAGGTCAATAACAGAGACCGATTACAGCACCAATACTGCTTCAAATCACTATGTACTACGAGCAAAGCCATATCCTGACCTTAAAATCCTAAAAGTTATTTACAGCTTAAACTACTTGACTCGACTTTTAATAGTACAGTGGGAAACAAGAAATATTGGTTTTTCAATGGAKGAAGAGAGTGCCTGGACCGATTGTGTATATTTATCTCCGACTACTTCAATTGACAGCTTGGCTCAAAATTTAGGATCAAAGGYTGTTTCCATAAAGTTAACTTTCATGCAAGATTACAAAGCCGWMGTGTCAATATCAGTACCTCGTCGGATTTCAGGTCGATTCTATGTCCACGTGCAAGTTAATTGCAAGGGAATCCTAGATGAAATTAACAATGGTCAAGACAACGTAAAACACGCCGTCYTTCCACTTGATGCCAAGGATATTGCATCTCCTKTACTTCAAATCGAAAGGAAATCCACTTTCCCTCAAAACATATCTTGTGTGGAGCCGGTACCTCTGACATGGAAGGTTACCAACAAGGGTGAAGTCAACRTGGAAATRGACTCATGGACKGATGCAGTTTACATGTATAACAAGGCTGACAGTGACCTTCAAGAGGTTATGGATTACGGAACTCGCCTTGYATCAAAGGTTTACACTGGTGGATTGCTCATTAACCAATCATACTTCGTTAATGTGAACGTGACTATTCCATGTAATCGTAGGACACCTGTAACTTATCTKTATATGTATACTGATATAAATAACCGTACAGGTCGGAACGAACCAGSAAAATCTGTGAGTTCTWTTGCCATGAATGTGCTATCTGGACCTTTACCAGATCTTACTGGTAGTTTTCTCAACTCATCGTTGCAAACCCAGGGAGGACGTCCGTATAAAATTCATTACAACATATCAAATGTTGGTAACGGAACAATCAAAACARTCTGGTATAACGCTTTGTACCTTAGTCAAGATGTCCTGCGTGATCCATTTGACCGTAAACTTGTTTCTCATCGACTAAATCACAAACTTGGATCCAATTCATTCTCCATTATGGAAGTTGAAGTATTTATTCCTTTTGATCTTGTTAGTAGTGACTATTACATATTGTTGGAAATGGACAGTAATAATCTAGTCAACGAAGATAATGAAGACAACAATTTTGCTTATGTTTTGATTGCAATTAAAGAGGCAATAAGAACTGACCTRCTGGTTTCATCAGTGTCTACGATGCCTATGGCAGTTTCTTTACGATCAGGTATTGCCGGAGTGAAATATTTCATAGTCAAATAGAGATTTAGCTAGCTAATATCAATTTGTGAGAATGCACCGATAATAACATTATTTAATTGTTATCTTTTGCATTTTCCTACAACCACTAACCACTAACCACTCGCCCTCACATAAGAATAACGAAACCCAAATTTCTCGATTATCGTCAATCAAACGGAGGAATTTTCTTCCACTTTGTTTGCTTTATTGACAGAAGAAAATCAACAAATCCGGGTGTTTCAATTCTTATTTTTGTTGCAGAAAATTTGATTCCCAATGCGCATTCTTTCGTGTTTTGACAGGGATTGAAATTAATTGGACATTGAGAAACAATGGGACCCAGGTCTTCTCTGGATACAAATGCGATTCTGTGTACATCTCAGAAGACGAGATTTGGCAWATAGATGATCGAGAAATTGGTGAACCTAATTGCGGATTTATAYCATTGCAACCATCCAACAATGGGACTAATAGAGACACTCCATTCTATATTCAAAAACCTTTGCCACTTATACCACAGGGAAAATATCGGGGTCTCTTAAGAAGCCGTAGTAACTTACGAGATCTCAATCCAAAGAATAATGTCAGGGCGGGTCCTAGGAACATCAATGTCACATATCCTGAATTAAATCTTGGAAGTTGCCTATTATCAGAGAATGGAAGTTCAGTGTACATCATCAAAGATGTTCCTTTTGGAAGGACTTTGATCGTCACAGCAAAAGCAAATTCAGTGAAAACATTTCAAGACTTGTACGTAAGGCACAAGTACCCAGCMTCTTCCTTCCTTTATGATGCAGCTTCAAAGTTTGCAACATCTGCCAATCAGGAAACCGTCGTTCCAACAACGAAAAAGGGACTTTACTACGTTATGCTTGAACGAACAGACATAACTCACTTACCTGGCGTTAAAACCCAAGTCTGCGCAAAGTTAGCTACATTTGAGATAGCACGGATTATACCAAAAACATTTTCACCCCTTGGAAATGTGACTTTAAGAATTGAAGGGACTCTGTTTGGCTGGAAACTTGATGTYTTACTGCTAGGAGAAAACAAAGAGATCAAAGCAGAAAGAATTTATCGATTTAGCTCAACACTTGTATACGCAACGTTTGACGTTCAAGGTCTGTCTGTGGGAACAAAATTCGATTGTAAAGTTATCGACCAGTCAGATGAAACTAATGCCATGCTAAACAAATCRTTGACCATCAAAGAAGGGACACCAGGCAAACTTTCCTTTGCTGTAGAGAGGCCCAATRCAATAAGGCTAACTGACACTGGTGAGATTGTAGTTAGCTACCAGAATGTTGGGAACACAGACCTTCCTACTCCAGTCATAATGTTCACAGCATCGGAAAGAACACTAATCCGTTTTGTYCCAGAAGACAGTTTGGCAACTGCATATGAACACTTCATATCRGTTTTCGCTCAACCCTTGGAAGGCCCTGCAGGAATTATTCCACCTGGRATGTCAGGGCAATTGCTATTTCAAACAATCCATAAAACTGGGACAGGAACTGGAAAATCGGACCTCAATATAATATCACTGCGAAACAATGATGAGCCACATATATTTATGGAAAGAAAAGAAGAGCTGAAACCAAAGAATTTAACTAGCGATCTTTGGGAACCTGTRTGGAATAATTTTTTAAAATCTACAGGTACAACACAAAGGTCTTTTAACCGACGGTTATCTGGCATTGCTACACAAATGAGTGTAGCTGGGCGGCGAGTGTTCTTGGTAAGGGATTTCATTGACTTCCAGTTGAATTTTGCTAATGGACTTCAAAGCGGTAAGAAATAACATTAACTCCATTTTTTTCGAATCCTCCAATGCAATCTCTGTGTAAGCTTCTGGTATTGAAGCTATCATTATTTTCAGGTCGAACTCTTATTGATATTAGTGATATGGCTGATCAAGGAGAATCAAATTTGTTAGTTCTGGAGCTACAACGCATTTACACCCCCTTATTAACGGTGCGTCGAGAGAGCGGAGTATTTGGGTATGGATGGATTGCCCCGTGGTGGTGAGTGTAATACATGTTTTTTTGAAATATAT